TTTTTTGCCTCACTCCCCTCCACCCTCATCACCCACAGCAGTGGGTATTCATTATTTAAACAACCCATGCCTCTGAAGTCTTATTTATCCAACATCTTTCCACAGCATATGTCAAAATTTACGGTAAGAGCATTCATCCCATAATAAACATTTGGCTTTGCTGGTCTACCAGCGGCAGGGCTAATTAGGGAGAGGGATTCCCTTGTTATCTGAAGGGAGGTCAGATACAGCAATTAGCATTGTTGCACAGCTTTAATTGTGACTTGGAGGCTAGGCCCTTTGGTGCCAGGTGGGGTGGAGAAATTGGCAGGGAGGAAAGGGGAGCCTTCCCCGGCAAGTTCTGGGAAGCCACAGCTATGCTATGAAAGGCAGCTCAGCTAGTTGGTTTCCTGGACTCCTAAGTCTCTGTATGCAATCTGAGCTCCCTGCAGGCTTTTCATCTTCCAAGCAGGGCCCGATCATGGAATATTCTCCCACCGACCTCTATCTCCCCAGCCATCTCTGTGAGCATTCAAAAGGACGCTTCCACTTGAAAATCCTGTCATTATCTCAAACTCAAAATATCCAAACTAAATGGACACATCCAGGAATCAGAACCTTAGGATTTGAGAAGAAGCTTAAAGATCATTGGTTTCATCATTCACCCCTTCTTCTGGATGTCTCTAGGTCAGGCAGTTGTTCAGCTTTGGTGGGTCACTCTCTGGACCCCTTTCCCTGGGGAGGAAAGAGATAAGTGCTCTGGTTTGGGCTGGGATTCTCTAGGAGCAAGGGCTGGCCATGGGCCTGGCTAGGCTGATTGCTGGATACTAGGTGTGCCATCCCACAATGCAATGCAAATTTAAAGGCAGAGAGGTCCAAGAGGCAGGTACAAGGAAATAGGCAGAGAGCCAGGCTCAGCTCTGAAGCAGAAGGGGATAAGATGGAACAGGCAAGAGCAATCGGGGTCAAGAAGACTGCCATTCAGGGGTCCCCAAAACCACTCTTAGCTTTAATAATTCACCAGAAGTACTCATGGAATTCAGCAAAACTGTTAGACTCACAGCTACAGTTTATTAGCAAAAGGTTACAGGTGAAAATCAGCAATGGAAAAAGGTGCAGAGGCATAGTCCAGTAGAACTCCAGGTGTGGACTTCCCTTATCCTCTCCCAGTGGAGTCAGCAGACAGCTCCTAATTCCCTCACAAATGATGTTGGCAACACACACAAAGCGTTGCCAACCAGAGAAGCTCAACTGAGCCTTGGTGTCCAGTTTTTATCAAAGGTTGCTCATGTAGGCATGGAGCTCCTGCATGACTTACCTCAATCTCCTGCCCTTCCAGAAGTCAATCTGAGACTGAGACCAAGGACCTCAGGTAAAAACGAAGGTGCTCTTACTGGGCAGATATTCCAAGGGCTGAGAGGCTAATTCTCAGGAGCTGGGCAAGGGCCGAACCTCTCTCTGCGAGGTGAATCCCTACACTCCCTGGGAAGCTATCAGAGGGAGGAGGCAAGGTCATGTTGGAAGAGTGGGCTCCAAGTGGCACAGAGGTCTAGGTCTGCCCCAGAAGCAACCCCCTGCCTCTCCACCCCAATTGCCTTGGGGATGGGTCAAAGAGACACCAGCATCAAGTACAGAGGAGTGCTTCTCCACCTGGGAATGGGCTGGTCTCTGAAGAGGAAGTCTGAGGGAGGAGGCTGTTTACAATGTGAGAGCAACACAACACCAGGGTGAGGAGTGAGAGGATGAGGAGCATGAGGCCATCAGATACACACTCCCAGGGTCTGAACTTTGTTGTTGAGGGGCAGCAATTATGGTGAGGGGCAGCAATTACGGTGAGGTGGGGTTTAAAGCTTGTGTTTTGCACTTACCAGCTTTGTCACTTGGGGCATGTTACACAGCCTCCTGGAGACTCATTTTTTCCACCTGTAAAATGGGGATGGTAACAGTTCCTGTGTAACCAGGCTGCAGTGAGGGTTGCATAAGGTGAACATGAGATAAATGGTAGCTATCTTTGTCCTCACCATTAATACCTTTCCATGAGACCAAGTGCTTCTTGAGATATTCTTGGCCTCTGTAGAGTTCTTTCTCATATTGAGATGAAAACTGCTTTTATACAACTTTCTGTTACACTGTTCTGGCCCTCCTTCCTGATCTTCCATTTCTGTCAGTGGTATCACCATTTTTGTTCTCTGGGACCACCAGTTCTTTATTCTTTCATTTATTCCTTCACTCATTCATTCAATACATGTTTATTGATATTTTTGTCTATTGATATTGATACCGTGCTTAACGCTGGGTATAGAAGAGAAAATAAGATATTCCTAACTCTCAAAGGACTCATGGTTAAATGAGATAGCAAATAACTGCATAAAATAAGCAGTTAAAATGTTTTGGTTGGCAAGTGCATTGAGTACTTGGGGCATAAAGGAGGCAGTGATCTGTTTTATCTGCTCCTTCCCCTCCCTAAGGCACCTTCACACTTGTCTTTATTCCCCCCATGAGATAACTTCCAAATTTTCTCTTTCTTTTTTATTCTTGTTGCTATGGGTTCAAGAATTGTAAATGAATTGATTCTCAGGTTGGAACTCACAATAACTGCTAGTGATATCCTAGAGGATTCCAACGCTGCGTTTTGGCCAGTGAGACCAGATAAGACAGTCTATCAGAAGAGAATTAGAAAGCTGTGATCATGGAGAATACATTCTGGTGTCCTATAGCATTGTAGAATGACTAGAGTTAACAATAATACATAGTTCCAGATAGCTAAAAGGAGGATATTAAGTGATCCCAACACAAATAAATGCTAAATGTCTGAGATGATGATATGCTAATTACCCTGATCTGATCACTATACATCATGTGTGTTGAAACATAAAAAAATACCCCATGAATATGTACAATTATTATTTGTCCATTAAAAAATAAAATTAAAGAAAAAAAGCTGTAATCATGATACAATTCAGCCTTCTGCCATTTGTGCACACCCAAGGCTCAGATTAGGCAGACACCCTGGCTACATACAAGGCCCTTAAAGTGCTACCCACTTGCATGCCCCCACTCCCTGTTAAGCACCACACCTACTTCATGACTCACCACCTCATCTCAAGCACACCACATGACTCACAGTGGTCTCTCCCTTCCTGGAATAATGCCCACAGCAGGACTCGCTGCCTCACGTCTGCTGTGTTGTCTTCATTTTGGATAATATTTTCGTTGGGTGGGACTTACCCGTTTTATATCATTGGTGTCTCTTTCACCCATTCCCACCCCCAGCCTAGTGTAGGTCTGGGCTCCTGATGGGTGCTGACTGATTGATAGATAGCCATTCCAGGTGATTGTGAAGGCCTCTGCCTCCACCACACCTTCCATGTTGGAAATGCCTTGGCTACATTGCCTCCAGATAAGGCTCTTGCCTTAGTATCTCTGAAGGGACAATATGATGTTAAGAAGAAAATGCCTATTCTCCATCTCTCCGTTGCTTGCACTCAGTCCTTTGTTGCTGCAACGTCTCTCTGCTACTTCCCTCCACATAACCCGAGAAAAAATGTCCAAGTGGATCTGGGAGCACTCCTAGCCTGCATGGTGCTCACTCTGTCAAGGCTGCCTTCATAGGGATGACAGCTCAGAAAAGAGTGGGGAGGGAAGTTTGGGGGCTCCTGCAGGGAGATGGGAACTCCATGGAGAAGCCAATATTCCACATATGTGACCTTCCATAATGCAAACATAGGAGGATGGGAAGGTTTCCTGGGACAGGACAGTGCAGCCCGTGGGGAGCTGATCCTGGTGAGAGGGGCTGTGGCTCTCCACTCCTTATGAAAGCGGGAAGGGATGAAGATGACTGGGAGGGCCTAACTATTAAAATCTGGAACTAAGGTGCTCAGAACAGTGACAAAGTGAATCCAAAGTTTTGGAAGCTATCCTTCAGCAAATGTTTACTAAGCAGGGTTCAAGGAGGCATAAGAGAACTGCTGTTAAAAATCATCCATGCACCCATCCATCATTCATTTCTTCAGTAACATGTTCTGAACAGCTACCATGAGCCAAGAAAGGTGTTAGGCACCAGCACCACGAAGAGAAATACCATAGAGTCCTTGTTGAGGAGGCTGAGAGTCCATCAGGGATTCTGAAGCACAGGAGACAGGCAGGGAAGGAAGCAATGAACTTGGAGAGATTAACTGGAAGCAGGCAACCAAGTGCTTGGAATAGTAAGCTGGAGAATGTGGTCTTAGTTGCAGCTGGGGAGGCCCTGAGGCATTTAAGCGAGGGAAGGAAGGGTATGTTTAGAAAGGCTGCAGTGGCAACAGCATGGTGGATTGCTTGCAAGGGAGCAAGCTGAAGTCAGGAAAGTCAACAAGAAGAGAGGAGGAATCTAAAAGACTTTTGCAGTTAGAATTTATTTGAGGAATATATACAAAGCTATCCACAAGAAACTGTGAGCACTGAAGGAAACCACTCGGTTTCAGCATGGTATGGAAGCAAGACAAACTAGCAAAGAAGAATTGTGATCCCAAATGCCAGATGGAAGGAGGAGAAAATGCACTCACCTACTGTGAAAATTCACTTACATTGAGACACAGGAGAGAAAAGTGATACTAACACCAGCTTTGAGGTCAGATAGAAAATAACTTGACACTAGTTGTGCAGATTTGACACACCAGTTGACCTCTCTAAGACTCAGTTTCTTTGTCTTTAAAATGGGTTCAAACTGTTTTGAGGATGAAATGAAGTCGTGTGTGTAACACTTAGCATAATGCCTAGAGTGAAGCAAGTTCTCAATAAAAGTCAATTGTATTTATTGTTAGGAATTAGTTGACAACAACAACATTTATTGTCATGGAGTGTCCTTTTTCTCAGAAGGCTGGAGAAGGAAAAGGGGAGTAGAGGGCCCTGTAAACAGCCTGGCTAATTGTGGGTTAGCCTGCTTAGCAGTCATAAGACAGTATTCATATTTTGGAGCTGAGCACCGCTAAATAGGGACACAACTGTGGATCTGACCTGGGTGCCTTTGTTTTGTGTTGCAGATTTTTCTGTCTCGACTTCTCTGACAGAAGATTGCAGTGTCTCCTGGCACACCAGGGGGAATGTGGCAGAACAGGAGGGGTGAACTTCAGTACTGTAACCAGGCTGGTACTCTAACACCAGCTTTGCACCTTGGTGGCAGCATGAGCACTTTAGTTAGAGTCCCAAGTTAGACTCTAGTTAGATGTCTCAACCATCCCCCCCTCTCTCTGTCACATGGTGGCTGTCTTTATTGAAGGGTGAAGGGAAATTCTCCTAAGAAATATAAAGCTCTTCTGGGGTCACCTTCTAAAAACCATCCAGAAGTGGATGAGCCTATCCTTGGGACTTCTTCCTTCACTCAGTTGGCTCCTGCTCCTTCAAGAACTTTTGGGGACAGGATGAAAGAACTCAAGGCTCCGGGCTTACCCACCACAACTTTGTAACTTTTTTTTTGCCATAATGGTCTCCTTATGCCTCCACTATGAAATGACCGGGACTCTCATGTTTTTTTCTCCTCTCATTCCTCCTTTTTTCTCTTCAGTATAATCTCTCTTTATTGAGAACTTACTGTATGCTAGGAACTATGCTGTATACCCATACTACATCTCATTTAATTCTTACATATCCCTGTGAAAGAGGTAGTCATACGAATACCATTTTATATGTGAGAAAACCAAGGCATAGAATAGTTAAATAAATTGTCCAGGATCTTCTAGTTAAAAACTGGCAGAGTCAAGATTCAGTCTCAGGTCTTTTTGATGCCCAAACATATATACTTTACCTTTAAAAGTGTGGCTCATGGATGCCTGGAGTTTCCTAGGTCCTTTACAGGGTTCTGTGAGATCAAAACCATTTTCATGATGCTGTTTGCCTTTTTCACTGTGTTGACATTTACACTGAAGGCACAGCATCAACGATGGGTAAAACTGTAGGCTGCTTAGCCCAAATCAAGGAAAAAAAACCAAACTGTAATACTAAACATTATATTTTTTACTAGAACGCACTTGCAGAATAAAAAAAATCACTTTTACTCAAGAATGTCCTGATGTGGCAGGAAATATTAAGTTTCTTAAATGTTGACCTTTGAGTACATGCCTATTTAATATTCTGTGTAATAAAATGGGAAGTATGCAAAAACAATTTGTGCTCAATATGTTCGTCTTGAGGAAAAGTACATGTGCATTTGAGTTGCAAGCTGAACTAGCCACTTTCTTAATAAAATACCCGTTTACTTGAAAGAATGAGTGACAATTTATGACTAACCAGACTTCAGTATTTGGAAAATATTTTCTTACAGATGAACAAAGTGAGACTGTCATTTCAAGGAAAATGACTGACAGTATTTGTTGCCATAGATAAGACTGAAGTTTTTAAGCGTATTAGAATTTGTGAAAATTTGTATTCATATTGTATCAGTCACGGTCTAGTCAGGAGAGAAAAACCACCTTGCATTTAAATAGGGAAAGTTTAACATAAAGAATGAACTATTTGTAAGAACAAAAGAGAATTCTAAAGAATACCCTAAGACTAAGGGAGAGTTCCAATAAAGGAAGAAATTTGGGTAAGGGCTGGGAATTAGACTTCATTGGAGTTGGTATCATGGTAGCCCCCTGCATGACGGGAAGCTACTCTGGGCCAAAGCCCATCCACAGTGAGTAGGCCAGGCCTGGCAGACGGGAAACTGCTTGTGATGGTCAATGGAATTTGCTGGAAGCTGTCATGGAGGCTGGTGAACATGCTGGGAAGCCCAGCTGTGGCACACACAGCGTTTACCAAGAAGCCCTTCTGTGGTCCTAAGAGGCTGCCCCCAGGGAGGAGCTGCACTGGTGGGTGAACTTTCCATAAAGCCACTCTCCATGGTGCCAAGGAAAGCTGGTAATGGGGAGATGCCAACTCCAATGAACATGACATTACTTAGTATCCCATGCACTGCTGGGTACCATGCACCAAGGAGCAAGCTGAGAAGATCACTGGAAGCAGGAAGAAAAGCCCTTTCCTCCTCCAGTGTTCTTCCAGTGCTGTCTACTGACAAAAGTTCCAACTGGCCAGTAAGAAACATTCCAGTATTACAAGCAGGAATGAAGGTAGCCTTGGAGCTGAGCAGCAATAATTTGATGGCTGGCATAGTCCACCCTTTTGTTTACATAACTTCTGCACACACTTGAACTTCTGTTTGACACTGAAGCAACTGTCTTTCTACCTAATGAGTTATAGCTATCCTTTGAACTAGTGAAATGCTCTTCCTTTTCCTAAACAGATGTATAGTCTCAAGAGTTATTGTATCCATTGCTGGGTATATTAACATCTCCTTAAATTTAGCCATGGTACTACTAAATAACACCTAAACAGAACATTATAAAGTTTAATCTTCAACAACTTGTGTGTAAAATGATGATGAGGGGCCTGGCAGCCTGGCACCTCTTCCAAGGTGGTTTCCCTTGGTTTCCCAGAGGAAGGCTTCCCAGGGAGCTCTCCTACACGGTGTAGCATTTCTTTATGGGCAGTCTTACAGGAGGCACCTTCCTGGGGAGTTCCACAGGTTCCCTAGCTGGCTTACCAGTTAGCTCAACGACATTTCTGAAGAAGGCTTCCCTGTAAGTTTCATTAGGTGCCCTGGCAGGGGTTTCCCGTTTTCCAGTTCCTGTTTCCCAGCCTCAGCTCATTGACTATGGTCCAGCTTGGATCCAGGCAACCCAGAGAACTTCTCTGCCTTCCTGCAGGCTGTAATCGCACCTTCTCCAACGAGGTCTGAATCCCAGTGGCCCTTGCACTGGTAACTTCCAAATAGTTAAAGACTTTTCTGACGCAATCTGAGGTGATATGGACAAATGTGGATTTCCAATATTGCATCGTGAAATGTATCAACATTTGCAAGATCTGCATAACTCAGTGAACCAATATTTCCAGATGATCAATCCATGCTGCAAAATTCCATTTCAAGTGTAAGATAGATCAATGGATTTTTTTTTAACATTATACGAAAAGGGTTCTCATTCCAAGCTGTAACCTTTAAGAAAGCACCATTTTTTGAGTTTTGATGTAATTTCCATAAATATCCACAATTATCAGAAAAGATTATTAAGCTATTCCTCCCCTTTGCAAATACATATCTGTGTTAGGCTGTATTTTTTTCATATGCTTCAACAAAACAGCCTATCACAACAGGGTGTGTTCAGAAGCAGGTACGCGAATCCAGCTGGTTTCTATTAAGGCTGCCAATAAAGAGATTTGTGAATGTAAAACAAGGCCACTGTTCTCACCAATTTTGTTTTGGAAAATTAAAAAACTCTTGTATATATTCACGTATAATAGATATGTTATTTTTAAATGAATTAATAAATATTTTATAATTTTCTCTGTCTCTCAGGCTGGAGTGCAGTGGTGTGATCTGGGCTCACTGCAACCTCCATCTCCAGGGTTCAAGTGATTCTCCTGCCTCAACCTCCTGAGTAGTGGGGATTACAGGTGTCTGCCACCATACCTGGCTAATTTTTGTGTTTTTAGAAGAGGCAGGGTTTCATCATGTTGCCCAGGCTGGTCTCGAACTCCTGGCCTCAAGGGATCTGCCCACCTTGGCCTCCTAAAGTGCCGGGATTACAGGGGTAAGCACCACACTCAGCCACTTTTCTCAGTTTCAATATCCAGTACATTAAATATCAATAGACAAAACCTATACAAACTTGAGGTCTTGGGGCCTCAATGTGAAGAAGTTCTGAGACTAAGATTCCCAGGAGCTGCTGTTCTGGACTAGAGTAACTTTCCTTCCAAAAGTGAGTCCTGTGAGCTTGAATGTGGACAGCAGCTAAGGGCTGTGGCACATCAGCCACAGGGGTGCCTCTGCATTTGGGGCTTGAAAATTCAAAGATATTTACATCCAGATGCCTAGAGAAGCTTCAACTCCCATCTCATTTTTACAGCACTGCACGTGCTCCCTGGCCTTCTGCCTTCTTTGATGTCATTACCTGCCTGAGCCTTTGCTGAACCTGAGCGCCGGTGATGGAGAAGTGCCTTTTGTTTTGAAGAAGCCCGCCCTGAGAGAGAGATATCATTGACTTTGTAAGAAGGGGCTTGGGTTGGATTTGGGGAGCCATTCGAAGGACACCCTACGTGAGCACTGGGACAAGCTGCTGCTCTGGGCAACATATCTCCCCCTTGCCACTCTGGGCTGCCCATCTATTGAACAGAGCCTGCTGCTGCTTCTCTGTTCTCCCATCTCTCTTAAATTGTACGGTTTTCACTTTCCCCTGGTGGAGTGGAGTATCTCTGTATCTTGTCTGATTTCTTCATGCTAGACGTTGGGCAGGAGGCACACGTGAAATGAATAAAGACTGGTCACCCAGAGCTTTCAGGGAGGTGCTCACTACCCTGAGATGCCAGGAGCTCCCAAGAAGAGTGGATAGGTCTGAGAATGAACTCTCTGAATTGGAAATAAAGTACAGCAGCAGGCTGGCTTGTTATATCCAGGGGCAGGAGTGGCCCTAGGGAGGGTGCTTCCTGACTTAGGTGTAACTGTTTGAAACATGCCTTGTTGAGCAATGTTGGAGATGCTCACAGTCTGGCTCTCAGGACTGGGAAGACATAACAGAATCACTGAAATCTCCCAAGATTGTGCAGACCAGGTAGGTCACTGTCTTTTCTACTTGTCTCAGGCTCTTTAAGGGCAAGAGCTACCTGGAAAAAGAGGTATAGGGAAGTGCATCCAAGCATCTGCAAGACGGTGTCCTACTCAAACGATAAGGAGGAAGCAGTTTCGTGCACCCATACATTACTCAAACAGCAGATGCCCTTCAATGTCTGGTGGGAAATGTCACTAAGAGGAGCCCTACTCTGTGCCTTCTGTCCCAGGTCCCAAGTTCCTTGTGAGCTCTGCCTCTGTGCCCCAGGGGAGGCTTCAGGCTGACCAGCTCAGCAGAGAGGTGAAAAGAAGAGGGAAGCCTCCTCAGTCACCTCTGAGATAAAAAGAAGAAAGAAAAAAATAAAAGAGAGGGAGAGAAAGAGAGAGAAAAGAAAAAAAATCAAAGACTAATCCTAAAAATTCTCCTTTAATCTTAGAGCTTCCAGACCTAGTTTCTCTTTCATCTAGGACTTCGAAGTTATCTAGTTATTTTATGGGTAGTGAAACCACAAGGCAAAGAGAGGGTGGTGGGGGGGAGATTAAATTAATGAGCAGGTAAGCAGGTTTATTATTTCGTCTGATCCTTCCTTCCTTCCTGCTAATTTCTCTGAGCCAATTTGGGAGGCAGAGCCTATCATGTTAACTCAGAGACAGAGTATTGTATCCATGTTCTTTCTGAAGTCATTTATCTGAAGGATATTAAAGATCCAATTTACATAGACATTATGGCATTGTGAGGAGGGTGTGTGCATGTGTGCAAATGAAAGCGAGTGAGTGAGTGAGAGAGAGAGAGCGCGCACGCTAAGGTATCCATCCAAGTGGGCCCGTGTTTGTGTACATACTCAACCTCCAATGAGTGCCATCTCTCATGAGGCTCTCAGAGAAGTTTGCAATCACTCAGCAAGTTAGTTCAAGAAGTCATTGGGCCTTGACAGAAATCAGGCTCCAGGCAACAGCGGAAATGTTTATTAAATTTGTGCTTCAACCCTCAGGCTCCTGCATTTCCTTATCGTTGCTCCTAGGTTCACAGTAGAGGAAATAGGGCCCTCTTGAGCTTGATATCTGCTTAATTAAATGCCTGATCGTATTGACCCAGCCCATGCATGTGCCTGTGTAATGAGGCACGGGGTAGGATAGATGCAGAAAAGAGGTCAGTTTCCCAGGTTAACCCTCAGCTCCCAGGTTAACCCAATCCAGTAAACAGAGAGCCCTCGATTCCCCACAAGAAAACTGGGTGACCTGGGACATTCTATGTAATCTGGCAGCTGGGTCTGTCATTTTAATCCCTCATGAAACATAGATAAAAAACAC